AATTACTCACTACCTACACACATTGTTGTCCTGTCACGTTGTGAGCATCTTATATATATATATATACCAGGCTACCCTATATCTAGTAAATGCTAGGACATTCACGAAGGAACAAGATAGTTCTAGAAACGTGGCGTGACACTAGTCACGTGACCTCTCTGACGCAACAACATGTCTTGGTTGCTGCTATACGCCTGTCCAGCTTGTCGTACACCAGTATTACAACTCAAGGCCCTAAGTAGTTTGTAACACATCTTGTATTGTTACAGATTTTTGTAGAACCTACTTGCGGTTCAGTATTCAACAAAAAGCGAACTACAATACTATAATCTATTCTAAATTTAATTAGTTTTATAAGTCATTTGAACATCAACATTTTTACATGAGCACAACAGTAAATATGCCGATATTTCCTGACAGGAATTTAGAACGTATCCTTCACGTTAGGCTCTTGAACTGTCCACAGAAACACTCACAAATATTCAACCCAAACTGTTCTTGCCCTGGGTCAGACTGATAAGCTTTCTGGCAAATCCTATCGATGTCAAATGATCATAGAAAACCTGGTCAGCACCTGTGATATCTGTTTAAATACACACCATTTTCTTGATACTCCGGATTTCCTCTGATGTGATATATTTATGAGGGTGAAATTAACAAGCTTCTGTGCTGTAGTAAATATTTGCTTTTATCATCCAAGTTTACTTCTTGTTTTGGTTGTGACTTGCTTTTTTTTTATATTGTAAACCGAACACTGTAACCCCCTCCCCCCACCCACACACCCATGTACTGATGTTCGTAACCACTTTCACGTGCACCATATGTGGACAGACTTTTACGGCCTTATGCAAGAAGAACGAGACAATATGTTTATAGTGAGCCGGGTTCCATAGATAACGGTTCGCTGTAGATTCGGTTGTAGCCTTTTCCCTGATTTAACGCCAAATTAGACATTTGTAGGTGTGTATGTGTGTTTGGTAAGAATGGTTTGAACAGAGTTCTGCACATTGTGCAAAGATGATCATTCCATCCACAATATATCCAATATCATCCTATATTTATATCCACAATATATCTAATATCATTCTATATTTATATCCACAATATATGCAATACCATTCTATATTTATATCCACAATACACCCAATACCATTCTATATTTATATCCACAATATATCCAATATCATTCTATATTTATATCCACAATATATCCAATACCATTCTATATTTATATCCACAATACACCCAATATCATTCTACATTTATATCCACAATATATCCAATACCATTCTATATTTATATCCACAATACACCCAATACCATTCTATATTTATATCCACAACATATCCAATACCATTCTATATTTATATCCACAATATATCCAATATCATCCTATATTTATATCCACAATACAACCAATACCATTCTATATTTATATCCACAATATATTCAGTACCATTCTATATTTATATCCACAATACACCCAATACCATTCTATATTTATATCCACAATATATCCAATATCATTCTATATTTATATCCACAATACACCCAATACCATTCTATATTTATATCCACAATATATCCAATATCATTCTATATTTATATCCACAATACACCAATACCATTCTATATTTATATCCACAATACATCCGATACCATTCTATATTTATATCCACAATATATCCGATACCATTCTATATTTATATCCACAATACATCCAATATCATTCTATATTTATATCCACAATACATCCGATACCATTCTATATTTATATCCACAATACACCCAATACCATTATATATTTATATCCACAATATATCCGATACCATTCTATATTTATATCCACAATACATC